TCACCATGCCATCTGAGACCCTGAGACTTTCCATTTGTTTGTAATGTTCCTGAGTTATTCATCCCTGTGAAATGGAGATAATGACACTTTGCTGGTCAGAGGGCTCCATTGTTTCTAAAACCCTGTTAGATCCTTGGTAAAAACCTGTCTGTCCATCACAGCATGGTTTTCCTAGTCTTGTCCGCAGGAATAAGCATGGGGATGTTCATATCTGATTTTTATGAACTGGAATTATTGTCCTCTGCTTTTGAAGAGCAGCACTCTAGAAAGAAAAGCAGGCCCATGGGATCTGTCCACTTCTTATTTTATATAGAAGTATGACAATTTGAGTGAAAAACCTTATAAGTGCCAGTTTATCAAATGGCTTTATGACTGATGCCCCCTATTTGCAAGCAAGCTGTGGATTAATGAAATCCCTGTCCCATGTTATCCAAAGAAGCTACTGAACACATGAGGAATCATTGCACTGTGTTGTGGCAAGGCAGAGGGGATGCCAAGGAAGATATCTGAACTGGAAGGAGAACTGAGTGTCCCTAAATCTCCCTGCAGGGAGGGGTATTAGAGATTAGAAGATCCCCAAATAAGGGGCTATAGGGCCAGAAGTGCCGCGGGTCTAAAGTGAATGGGTCCAAAGAGATATTGGCACATATTTGAAGAGAAAGGATCTTTTCTGACTGTGTGGCCCGTTAAAGCAAAGTGGTTGAAGCAGTCTGGGAGAGCAGATGTGGGGCCAGAGGTGGAGGTGAGGGATGCACTGGGGAGAGAGGCTCAGGAGAGGGGGCTTGAAGCCCTGACAGGGCACTGATTCACATCCTAAAGAGCAGTCGAGAGTGGGGAGGAAAGTGAGGCTGGAATGACAGGTAGGTGCCTGGCTGGTTTCTATGGCAATGTGTCCCTCACGTGATAGCTAGGGAAAAAGTATTATTATTATTATCGACCTTTTGGAAAGCGCTTGTTTGACGTGCTTCATTTATCACATATCCCTGAGAAGGAAAATTGTTGTCTCGGGAATTTCACGAGGCTGGTGTCCTGGGAATGGATGAGTGTAAGCACTGGTGCACCACAGCCTGTCCAGGGTATGGGTTTCCTGCCAGGATGAGTGGCTGCTCTGAGAAGCAGATGGCTGGCCAGAGCGCCTGCAGGGTGCCCCAAAGCCACAGACTGTGTTTGAGCTCCCCTCGATTCAGAAAGCTCAAAGCACACGTGCTGGGTATGGAAACCTAACTCAATGGGCTGATGAACGTCCGAAAGTCGCTGTGACCACCTAAGACTCTCACATCTTGCATAAGCCCACGTAATATAGTGTGAGAGACTTATCCTCTGCAGACGAGGGCGACGGTGAGGGCAGGAGTGACTTTTCACCAGACAGGACTGTGATGCCCCATGGGGGTTTGTGAGAGTTTGGCTCGTGTGTGGTGTGAGGTGCAAAGGGAAGGAGCTGGCATTTATGGGATGGAGCCTTGAACAGGAGGCTGGGGTCGGGTCAGCACTGCAAAGTCCAGGCAGGGATGGGTAGAGGAGCAAAGTCTTGGGTAGCCAGGAGAGCTCTAGGCTGGGGTTACGAGGCTAAGAGACAACTGTAAAGTGGGAACATGCAGTGCCTGCCCTCATTCAGTTTGGCTCTGCTCGGAGCTGATGTCTCCTCACTTATATGACATTATGCATAAAGTGATAATCATAAAAACATGATAATGGCACTGAGCAGACAGCACAAAGCCTCTAGCCGTCCCATGGGTGTTTCCTGCTTCCCCTCAGAGTATTACTGCCCCTTTAGAAAAGAGCCTCCTGCTTAGTATAAGTTTCTCATTACTTACTAGGGGTTCTTCCCTGTGGGGCCCTTAAAGCTGGATTAACTGGTAATGGGTGGCGCATTTCCCTTAGTACATAGTGATCTAGCTCTGAATTCAAAAGGGCACAGGGCTATTGCTGTTGCTTCTTATTTAGTGCCAAGTGCTAAAGGGGTTTGGTGTGAGCCAATGTTAAATGTTTGGTCCATCTTGGAATGGATGTTATGGGCTACACTACTGTTTGTCATTTGTTCCCCGCTATTATCTATACAATACCAGGTCCCCTCTGAGCTGCATCCTTGGGGAAATTGTTAATTATCTCTTACTGTGTGGCATCAGTTTGTTTTTTAGCATAGGTTTCCCCTATTTTACTGGCAACTTCCAAAGCCAGCATGGAGACAGAGACCAGTTGGGCTGTGCTGCGTGGCGGGGTGGAATATTTCTGTGGTCCCAGCACACAATGGGACGTGCTGTTCTGTCTCGCCACGGCCGAGAGGAAGTGGCAGCTGACTGTGGTGCTCCAGACATACCCCCAAGAGGTATGCCTGGCTCTGCAGGCCTCCCTTTCCTGCACTCCACTGCTTTCAATGTCGGGATGAGACCTCTAAGGATGCTGGGATCTTGCTGCACAGATTTTTGTACAGCAGATTTATCAAAGTGTAGACACGAGGCTTGTACTTTCCTTTCTTCTCTTTCTAACTACTTTTTTGATTTGGGGGTAAGAAGACAGCTAAGAAAAACATGGAGAAGAGGATGAGTCTGCTCAAAGACTTGCAAGGGAGCCAATGTTTGGGCCACCAGCACTAATTCTTACTGATATAATATGGTAACTCTGATATTTGCCGAATGATTAACAACCATGAGGTCAGGGCTGTGGCAGAGAATAATCTGGCTTGCTTGGGAAGCTCAAACAACACATTTTAACGCAGCCAAAGAAAAGGCATGCATCTGCAAAGGGGAACGTGCCATCCTGTCCTGAAAGGAATGCTGTGCTTGGCAAAAAAAGGGTTAATGTTGCAAATGTGTCTTTGTGGGTGAACCTGAAGTACATACCAGGAGATGGTCAGTCAATTCTTACTGATTTCAAGGGGCAGCTAAATGGACATAGCTGAACTAGCCAGAGAGGATTATAGGAGGAAAAAAGTGTATTTCAGAGAGAGAAATTCTGGGCTGCCTTCCAAACAGATCAGAAAAAGGGTGAAATGAAGCTCATCAGATGGCTGTTTCTTATCTCAAATGCTTACTCTTGCAGATATGCAAATCTGTAGTGGGAGAGGCACAGTGCTAGTTTTAAGCTCTTTTTTTTTTTTTTTTTTTGTACTGGCCTATCATTCCCTGTGTTGATATCACCACTACTAACCCTTCTCTTCAAACTGGCAATTGCAGTCATGGATTATTTCCAGGATAAGAAAAGGGGTGGTGAGCATCCTCTAGCAGTACCAAGCTGATAGAAGACATTAGTGCTCATCCTGTGGGTTATTTAACGAGGAACGTGACCTTACTGTCCCATTTCTTGAGGAGTATTGACCTTTGCAACAGCTGGGGGAGGTTTCATCTGCTATCTGTTTCTCTCTGTCCAAAAATACTGTTTGTGGCTGTGAACTTTGACTTAAACTCATATTCTGTTTTCAGTAAATTCAGGATGGGTCTGAGGTAACTGAAACGGAGCTACCAAGCTGTAAGAGAAGAAGGGGTTAGTGTTGTTTCTTGTTGTTGAAGGCAGTAACCCGTCTGGGGTAGGGGTGGCTGGGACTGTGTTACTGAGAATAGGAGGTCACGTAGCTGAGGGCAGGGATCTTTACAGAGTAACACTGCCAGGCTCTTTACTAAGAGAAGGGATCCCTTGTAATGGAAAGGGCTAAGGGGAAGCTGGAGAGGGAGGCGAGTCTTGTTCCTCCTAACAGAGTTCCCTTTTGTTACAGAGAGGGGGATCTAGTTACAGAGAAAACATCCCTAGCTGTGCTGGGGGTTGTGCTATGGAGAAGGAGG